TTGTCTTCCTCTTCTTTTTAGAGCTTGAAGATGCTCGAAGTTCTTGCATCCCGGTACGATTCATATCAGAATTTATATCAATTGGTGTTTTCAATGGTTTGAACACAAAAAAACTAGCTTAGCCGCCACGGAAAGTCCATCGCCAATCATTCCGTTCGAGTTGAGCTAGTGCCACCGCAAATGTAAAAATAAAAGAAGTTGAGTTTTGTTTCATGTCGCCGTCTCTAAGCACAAAAACAAAATGGTTTCTTCCAGTGTTAATATTCCAATTAAGGTAACCTCAAATTGGTGCATAAAAAGTATTATATTATCGAGTTGCTTTTCCCACTACTATTTTGTTTGTCACAAGAATTAGACACTGCCACAATAAATCTCGGTCGCTACGCCAACCCATATTTTTCCGCCCAAATTTGCTGAGAATTGTCCACATCGGGCAGTGATCCGAAGGATGGATACTTTTATTGATCAATAGCTCGATCAAATACAGTAAGATTTTTCAGGTTTGAATAGAGGGACGGTTCGGGAGATTAGAGGCTTTGATTATGAGTACATATGTGTTGGACAAAAGTATTGATTTGTTGGAGAATATTCCACATGGGAAAATTTCTTTCCATAAAGAGTATGTGTATCTTATGATCACATGGATGAAATTATAAAGAAGTTTCAGCCATTCCATCGTATTGCAAGTCAAACAAATTTTGATTTTGACTTAAATGCACTCAACATAGCAATTTCTTGCTCAACACAGAATTTGGTTCGAGGTCCCATAATTAGGTGGAGTCAAATTCCTTTAGAGTTAAAACACTTTCAAAACAAAAATGATGGACATGATAAGGAATCTCATCAGTGCTCTACTTTCTCAACCAAGTTTGTCAACTACTGTAACTCATGGTCAAAACAAACAGCATGGAGTTGATCAAAGGAATCTTGCCTTGGAAAAACATGAAGAGTATGAAGTTCTGGGAGGTGTAGATAAGGTAATGGATGAAGAGTATATACACAACAACTCCATTTTGTTTGACTCCATCAAATTGTTTGACATTGTTATTGTTGTTGTTGTCAAGTCTAAGTATTTGGTTCCAAAGGGGATGGTTCGACAAAAAATTAGTATTCTCTTGTGTTTCTACTGCTATACTCCAATCGGTGTGCATCTTAAAAAAAGTTTAGCTGGTAGACTTCTTCTGTGGGTCAATATTTAGTCTTCAGTTCAGAAGCAGGAGTGGAAGCATGTACCTTGAGGACAATGTTGTTTCATAAGGCGACAAGAATGATACAGATAGTAAATTAATTAAATTATTTAAATATCTATCAATTGGTAGTTACTTCCTCCTTCCAACAATAAACTTCCCATTTTGAACAATGTCCAAAATCCTATCTTTTTAAAAATTATTTAATCTAGAAATTGGTATATCATAAAAAAGTAAAATACATTGTCCAAAACTACATCAAAAGTTCTACAAAACAAGATGTGACAAGAATATTTATTTTATCAAATGATTGATAAAAATATACAAACAAACATAAGTTATCAAGATTTCGTAATAGAATTGAGAAGATTGTTATTGGACGGAGAAAGTATTTATTATTATTATTTTATTATTAATCATGTTTAGGGTTTTGGTATGAGCTCACAAGCCCATTAGGTTAATTAGGTTACTTATACTCTCTATGTACTTTAATTCTTTATTATTATTATTATTATTATTATTATTCTTATTATTATTATTATTATTATTATTATTATTATTATTCTACGAAGTATGTAATATCAAAAGTTCTCCTTCACTTTTGCTCTTTTTTAGGAGCTCGAAAACACTCAACATTTTTCATCTTTTTTTCTCTTCTTCTCGGAGCATGTAAATACTTGAAATTCTTCCTTTATCTCAATACAATTCATATCAAGATTCGTATTAGTCGACAACACACACTGCTAGCAAGGACGAGTGGAAAGCGTTGGTGGATGGACGTCAACATGAGGTGGTCGACGGATGGCTGGATACGATGGGTAGCTATTGACCACTGATGGTAAGTGGTTGTGGATCATGGGTGGCCCGGAGGGTGTGCAAAGTAGTCAACCGCACAGGGTCCCTAAAATTTATAGCCCCGTATTTTTAAATTTGGCATTTATTCTAAAGCATAAGTATTCTACAAAAAGAAAATAGGGCCCAAAATGTAAATTTTTGACCGGGCCAATTTAATTTTATCATTTTTCAGGGCCGGCCCTGTTGTGGATGGTCGGGTCAAGGTGGATTTCCTGCGCTCGTAGCCAATGGTTGAGGGAGATCAAAATTTACAAATTGATCTCTAAAATTTTGGAAATATTGAAACACTCCCATTTTGGATGTTGTGATATCAAATCAGAACTCATATTTTTCCCGCTCATGGTTTAATCAAATTCTCACTTTGATCTTGGCCAATTGCCCCACAATTAAGTCTGTGTGGCTATCGATAGGCATGTAGCCATTCCTCAAATTCATAAGATTTATTTTTTGAAAACAATAAAACCAATGTTCACTAATAAAATTGGACCATGCTAGGGTGCCACCACATGGGTGCTACTAGGGCTGGACACGGTACCGGTTCGGTACCGTCACCGGAAACGGTACCGCCGGTACCGAGCACCGTGACGACTACCGGGACAGCCTAACAGGTTCCAAAAACCGGCACCGGTACCGCCACATCCGGTCTCAGTTCCGGTGCCCCAAAATCGTTACCGGCTCCGCCGGTACCGGTGCCGGTTATTTTTTTTTCTCCTTTTTGCTCTCCAACGGAAACCTGC